GGGGGGAAGCTGCTTTGACAGCTACTGTTCTCTGAGCCTGTGCCACATGCCAAGCCCTTGCCTGCATCATCTCATCGTGTTCATAACAACCCTCAGCAACTGATACCCATTTTCCAGCTGAGAAAGCTGAGACCCGGAGAGACCACGGCTTCTGCCTGAGGACACATTGCATCAGGCCAGCGGCAGGGTCAGAGATGGACCCCAGGTCTGGGTGCCCTTGGGCCTGAGCCCTTGGCCACCACGCTGCATAACTCCCCCTTCCGCTTGCAGGCCATTCTCTTCCGCCTCCTTCCCGGGATGGCGAGGACGCACTCCCGGACCTGGACCTCCTCCCACCTCCGCCGCCCCCACCAGCATTCCTGCCTCCTCCTGAGGACGAGCTCCCAGCCCCGGTGGGGGCCGCGCTCATTTCTGACTTAGAGCAGCTACACCTGCCCCCACCCCCACCACCATCACAGGTATGCGACCCCTGACCCTGGTGGAGCCCCGTGGGCCAGGGAGAGAGGGTCTGCTTTTCCTGGGCCTTTGGGGATGTTAAGCCTGGAGATGGTTTGGTCCGTTCTCCTGTTTGAGGACAGCCCCTCTTTGAAGCTCTTTGAGGCTGTAAAAGTGATTGTGCCCCCCTTTCCCCATCAGGCCCCTTCAGCTCTGAGAAGACGTTCCCCTGGGTCTGACCCACATCCCTTATGCGACATATGAAGCCCATTTAAAAAATGTGTGTGTGTGTATTTTTTTAATTTCAGAGAGGAAGGGAGAATGAATATGTTACACGGGGTCTTGCCTTTCTTTTGAGCTGTATCATCTAGTGGGATTTTTAGAGAGATAGAAACATCAATGATGAGTGATAGTCATTGATCGTCTGCCTCCTGCACACCCCCCACTGGGGGTCCTTCTTGCCCTCAGGACCCAGGACCAAGATCTTGGGCACCCTCTCCCTTACCCACTCAGCCAGCCACCCTGTAGGACAGACCTCATTGCTCTCACTTTAGGAAAAAACCGAGGCCCAGAGAGGTTCAGTGACCTGCTCAGGGTCACCCAGCAGGAAAGAGGTGGGGCCCTTGTGAACCCAGCCTGTGTGCGTCCTCCCCTTTCTTGGGGTGGGAGAGAGGGAGGGGGAACCCCTATGGAAGGCTGCTGGGACCCCTGCAGGGGCTGAGGGGTGCAGTGCCTCCCCCACCTCCAGCTAAGTAAGTTTATTTCTGAACCAAGCACAGAACAAAGCTTAGAGGGGGTCCAGAGTTTGGGGAGGGGGGTGGCAGTAGGACCCAGGAGGGGGGCTACCTGGAGGCCCTCATCCCCAGGAGGCCCTGCCCTGGGCTGCAGCCTCAGCCGGGCTGGGTGGGTGGCTGGCTGGATCTCAGCCTCCTTCCTTCCTCTTGACAGGAAATGACTTTCCTTCCCTTTGTTCCCACTTTCTCCGCTTACCCAACTGGATCTCAGATCCTGCCGGGAGGGAGGATGGGGTGGAGGGTCTGGGGTCAGCTGGCTGGGTCACTGCCCACGGGGAGCTGTCTCCCAGGTACCCCCATCCAGGAGCAGAGGGACTGGAGGAGAGCGAGCCTTCTCCTGGGGCCTGGCTGGCCCCGCTGCCCAGGCTTTGCAATTCCCCAGCTGGGCCCCTTCCCCTGGGGCCTGAAGTCCCTACAGAAACCGCAGTGTGTGTGTGTGTGTGTGTGTGTGTGTGTGTGTGTGTGTGTGT